GCGGGCGCCAGCCCCCAAGCGTCGCACAGGCCCCGCCGCAGCCGTCGCGCCCCGAGCGCCGCCCGCGGCCAGCCGGGAGATGTGAGGGTCAGTGGGCCTCCGGGTCGCTCGGCCAAAGCCGGTTACCTGTGAGGGATACCCGGCGGAGGAAGCCAGGCCGGGCCGCCTCACACCCGCGGCGGCGGCGGGGGCGGGCCCTCCGCGCGCCCTCTCCAGGGAGGGGCGGGGGCGGGGGCACTCATGGATTGGCCGATGGGCTGTGATAGACAGCATGCCTGTCCCGCCCCCAAACTGCGATTGCTGATTTGAGAGGTCTCGGTTGCGACGACCAGACGCGTGCATTCCGCCGTTGGAGCTAGTACTATGGCATTGGACCCCTCATTTGTAGAAATCTCGCAGGCGTAAGAATAGCCATCAGGACGAGTAGGCTCTGGGTCGCGCCGGACGTGAAGCCGCAGTGGCCTGCCTCTGTCTCGTATCTGCTGCTGCCTGCCCCACCACACTGTTGCTCCCCGCGCTGCAGGACTTGGTCCCTACTTGTAGCACCCGCCGGCGGACGCTCTCCTAAACTTTGGTTTTCCCGGATGCTGTTTGCCTCGTCCCTCCGTGGCCTTCCTTCTCAGGCTCTAGATTCAGTGTTGGGTCAGTCACTAAGGCACTGACCTTTCCTATGGTTTCGCCCTCTGTGCAGATAGTGACTCTAAGCCTGGCTTTCCCCGACGCTCAGTGCCCAGACAGATCCATTCCTGCTTCACAACCCCTCTTAACACAGCTCTCTCACCTGTCCTCCATGTCGCCTTTCACAGACTTCACTTCCCAGAAGATGGCTCTGAATTTCTGCAAGCTGCTGAGGCACAACGTCTCATAACGACGATCTGCCTCACCCTAGGTGAATTGGAGACCTCATCACTCTCCCCAGGATCCCTTTTGGTCTCGCCTGCATCTGTGCTGCCTGTTTTAATCTCTAAAATGCGATGCAGTCGTGATGCCCCTGCATACCGATATAAATTTCCACTGCATGTAAAGCCCGGCCTTTCTGCGTGGCCCAGCGTGTCCTTTGTGCCCTGGTCCAGAGTCGTCTCTTCCTCTTCATCTCACATCACTCACTGACCTTCACTCTTCAAAGGCTGTGAGGCCTTCTTGCAGTTACTAATTTATTCTCTTTTCCTTTCAGAGGCCAACAGCACCACTAAAATTGAGGACACTATGACACCGTGGAGCTTAACAGACATTCAGGCAGTGCAGGACAACTTATTGCATGCCAGAGGTGAGAGGGTCCACTGAGCTGGCAGAGAATAATCAAGGTTTTGTGGGATTCGTGAGACTAGCACCTGTGTGTCAGAGTGGGTCAGGAAGCCCACCGTGTTGGACAGGGGCTCGGGCAAGTGTGTGGGGTTACCTTGGACTCTGTCTTGCTGTAGTGGTGCCTTGTGGGTATGTTTTTATTTTCTTAAGTGAGCCCCTAGGAAGTTCATGATTCAGTGTGACACCCAGGTACTTTATTCTAATGGGAGTTAGGGTAGTTGAGAAAGTCTGCCACTTAGTGACAGGCCTGAAAAGTGCGTGGGGGAACTAATTTGAACCAGTGGTACAAGGGTGTGCATGTGGTCACACCTGACCCCTATAATAACTAATCAAGGAGAATGATCCCCTATTTACTGATGGGGTAACAGATTCATAGTTCTACAACTTGTTCCAAAGCTACATTATTAACAAGTGGATTTATTTGCTTTTTTTTTGGTGGGGGGGGGGCGGCTCAGCCCGCCTGAGGGCCAGGCTGGTACTGCATGTGGTGGTCCCCTGGGGCTGCCTAAGCTTACCTAAGCAGTGCTTTAGACCGCTGAGCTACCTCACAGGCCCCATTGCTTTGTTTTTTGAAGCGGGATCTTTCTGTGTAGTTTTAATTCACCTCACACTCACAGCTTTTACTCCAGCCTCAGCCTCCCAAGTGCTGGGATTACAGGTGTGCACACCACACCCCACACTAACAAGTGGCTGTCTGAGCCCACATCTGCCTGAGTCCACGCATTTCTATCTTCTAGGAGAGCCACTGACTTGGATAAGTCCTGGTAGGCATGGAAGATAGCTAGCTAACCAGTACAGAAAAGGGGAGGCAAGCTCACAGCTAGCTGTAGACAGGAAACCCAGCAAAATGTGGGTGCTCACAGAGCATGGCTTGTATTGGTTTGAAGTGGTGCTATTTCCTGTCTGTAGCCTATTTTGTAGAGCCGGTTGTAATGAGGGCTATGGAGAAAAAAGTCAGAGGGTTGTGCAATAAAATGTGGTAGGAGACCTACTTCAGGTGAAACCTCTTCAGCTCCTTAGGACCCAGCAGAAGCCCAATGGATGCGAGTAATGGCCAAGTAGATTGGTAAGGGAAGGTGGAAGGAAAATACTTTCCAAGCAGGGATAATAGCAGGTACAAAGGCCTTGAGGCCAGAAAAAGGTTGTTGAGCTTAGGGATAGAAAAAGTTGGTGCTTAACCAGCGAGGGGAAGGCCAGGGAGGATGATGAGGCTGCAAAACCTGGGGCTCCTCCCTAGAGGACCCCCTAAATCCTGCCGTGCTCATTGCACTTTCTGTGCAGCTCCAAAAGGCTTCAGGCACTTTTAAAATATGTTTCTGGCTGGGGAGATAGCTCAGCGGCATGGTACCTGCCTGGCAAGTACAAGGTTGTGATTTCCATTCCCAGTACCCCCCACCTATCTGTTTCCATTTTCTGGAAACTGCCCAACAGGCAGCCCAGACTTCTTTGTATTTACTCTTGCCTCTTGTGCCAGACCTCTGGGGGCTCTAGAGATCCCTGCAAATAGGAGCTTGAGCTTTCAGACTGTTTCCAGGCCTGTAATCAGGAAGCAGGGCCTTATTTCCTCTTGGGACTTCTGGGCACCATCCCAGGGCTCAGGTACCTCCTGCCACTAAAGGAAATTCAGGAAAAAGAGGGCGCACAGAGGGTGCGGCCAGTGTGGGCTTTCCCAGCTCAGCATATATATGGGTGTGTAGGTGTTGCTGGCAGTTCGTGCAGCTGTGCTGTCTGTGAGGAGCAGCTCAGCACCCACGTGAGGCCTATGCCTGTGACATCACCAGGCCAGCCCTGTGTGGGCCTACTTCTGTGAGCACTCATGTGTTAGCATGCCACACCAGGTGTGTGCCTGGAGTCTTTGGAGAGACCCAGCCCAATGCTTCAGGTCTATGGGCTTGGCCTGTTTAATAACCATTTAGAGCAGTGATTGGCATGTTGTAAACACTGTATGACTTGCTTTATCCACAGTGGCTCATTTCTTCCTCATTGCAGCTGTGCAAGATAAGTATTCTTATTATCTCTACTGAACAGAAAAATGAAGGCCCACAGAGATGAAGGAACATGCCCTTGGCCACACAGCTAATAGGTGGCAGGCCTGGCTCCAGTCGGTGCTATGTTGGCTCCTGTCCACATGTGAACACTTTATTATGTATCTTTAACTCCTTTTCCGAAACACACCTACCCAATGTTTCTTTGCTTGTTTGTTTTTTTGTTTTTTTTTTTTTTGACAGGGTCTCACAGTGCAGTTTGGGCTGGCCTTGTGTTCACTTTTGTAGTCCCCAGGCTGATCTCAAAACTCACGAGAGATCTTGCTGGCTCAAGCTCCTGAGTGCTGGGATTACAGGTGTGTGCCACCACACCCCGTTCCAGGGCTGCCCAGTGGGTGCCTGCATCCTGGGCTGAGACCACATGGCATGTGGGGCTGGGGACCACTCGAGTACCTGTGCTTGCCACCTCTGAGCTCTCTCTGGCCCCTACCCAATGTTTTCTGTTTTAGTTATTTTGTTCAGTGTTGCCAAGGTTAGGTTCTTCAGGAAGCAGAGTCTGACAGGTTAATATGTGGTGCTTACCAGGGGTCAGCACTGTGGAGAGGACAGGAAGGAAACAGTGGGCACCTGGAAGAATGGAGCTGAGATGCAGGACTGATGACAGCTCAGCCAAGCCCTAGGGAACTGTGTTAGCATTGGCCTGAAGCGGATGTGGATTCAGCCTTGGCCACACAGCTCTTCACAGCTGAGGTGATCCTAGACTGGCCCTTGAAGGTTTTCTGCTGACAGTTCTCCCAACAGCTGGGCAACAAGTCCTTCCTTACAGGGGGACCTGGGTGGCCCCACAAACACATTCTTTTCCAACCCTTAAAAAAAAAAGTCTACTTAAAAACAACAAAAATACTATATTGTACAAATGGGGCATGAGACTATGAAAAGAGTGAATATGCTGCGGTTGATATGGGCAAATGTAGTTACTGCAGTTGAGAATCAAATGTGGTAGAGCTTCCTGGTAGCCAAAGCAGTAACAGTTTCTATTTTGATAACTGATTTCCTGGGGAAGATAATTTTCCTGGGTTTAACTTTTAAGAGAAGTTTCTCACTTGGATACTTATCTGACTTAAATAATGGAGAATGTTTTCAAGAGATTCATAGCAAATGCTATCTCATTTTTCATTTGTTCCTTATGATCTCTGCCATCTGAAATCTCACAGTAATCATTCTGCCTCAGCCTTCTCAGTCCTTGTAATGGTTTTGAGTGAATAAAGGCATAATTTAAAAGCATAATTCAGTGAAATGCCTCCTACAAAAAAGGCGTATTTATAGACCTGCAGTGTCTAATTTGATCCATGCCTAACCCTGAGTTTATTTTCTTTAAACAGTCCTTTTAAAACTCAGTTTTGTGTGTTCCAAGTCTGTTCACTTCCGAGCACCTGAATTCCACCGCAGCCTGTAGACTAGGTTCTTGACCTCTGGCCCCCCCAGCCTGTCTATGGCTCAGAGTGAGTTGTTGGGCCTCACACTTCTGAGTCATGTGCTCCAGCTTTCCACCTCACCTGGGATATATTCTCAGTCCCTCAAGAGGCTTTCTGTTTTCGTATTTGAGGCAAACCTCAGCTGGCCCTGCAGCTTCCAGGGATTCTGCTCTCCCCACAGGCTCTGCTCTTTCCCTGCTGACCACCCCATGGAGGCCTCCAGCAGGAAGAGAGCAGAACACTGTTGCTCTGAGGTCAGATATGGCGCCAAAGAACAAAAAGAGACACCAGGGCAACAGCGGACCTGCTTTTGCTTCTGCCGTCTTCCAGATGTTCCTCATGGCACGTTTAGAGCATGGACCAACTCCCCACTTCAGCTGTGGGTGTAGAAACACCAGCAGCCCTCACTGGCTCTGTGCTGAGGGCCCTGGGAGTGCTGAGAAGTGACCCATGGCCTTCACTAGATCTGTTGGTGGCTGTGGGGTTAGAGCAAAGTGAGATCTGTTAAGTGTCCTAGCAACCCCTTCCAAATAGGACAGCACTCATTTTCACAGTAGGGTCATGCCAAGGTGTTCCGTGGGGTTTTTGGCAACCAAAATGCCAACATGATTTGAAATGAGTGATTAAAATAATCCAGATATGCTTACTTGTTAATACACATGTATTTACGTTATTTAAAAGGTTTATTTAAAATTTATGAATTCATAGATATTGATTTTTCACATATCCTGTAATTCATGAAAAAGTTTTCTATGTACTTTTCACAAGTCATTTTTTGAATTCTCTAGTAGCTTCTAAGTCATCACTGTCACTGCTTTCTAAATTGAGAAGAGCAGTTTCAAAACTACTTTATTAATAACTTATACAAAATGCATCAATTTTTATAAAGTTTGATAAGCCTTTTTTCCCCACCCGATGGTGCTGCAGATCCCATCTCAATTCAAAGAGCTACATCCTAACACTACTTAAGAAATGTTAAAAGTAGCCCAAAGTAACTGGATTATAGGACTGAGCCACTGCTGCAACTGAATTTCATGTGCTTTGACAGATGTATCCATTTTTGTGACTGCTACCCAATCAGGATGTATTGGACCTTCTTGGGCCAGGGAGATGGCTCAGTAGGCTAAGCACTTGACTGGCAAACGCAAGGATCTGAGTTCAATCCCTGGTTCCGCAAAAAACAAAACAAAAAAAAAAAAAAAAAAAAAAAAAAAAAACAACCTTCTTTTACTACTAGAGATAGAACCCAGTGCCTTCACTCACCTGCATCTCCAGTCCTTTTTTATTTTAGACAGGGAGGGTCTCACTGAATTCCTCAGGTGGGACTCAAACTTGATCCTCTGCCTCAGCCTCCCAGAATCCTGGGATTATAACCCTGTCACCATACTTGCTAATACTCCAGGTTTTTTGGTGCTTCTTTGTAGTTATTTTTCCCAACTTTGGTCCAGCAACCACCAGTTTACTACTTGTTACTATAGGTGAGTTTTGCCTATTCTAAAATTTCATATAAATAGAATCATAGCCTATGTATCTGTGTCTGAGTATGTTCAGCTGCACATTTTTGAGATTTATCCACAATGTTGTAGAAATGCTATGTGATATTATCAGTGGAAATTTCAATATAAGCATAATTAATTACCTTTGAATATATATTCAAAGGTAATTAATTTCACAAATTAAAAACACAAATTTCAACTGTCATATCCACAAATATTTCAATGTTTTCCCAAAATATTCTCTTAAAAATATATACATTAAGTACAACCTTTAAAAGAAGTTAATAGAAAAAAAAAAAGAAGTTAATAGGTTAGTGAACTTTAAAATGCTTGTTTTACACTGAGTGCTCAAGATTGTGGAAATAATTATCATTGCGAATTTGTGTCCTTGTTCACAGGCTTTGTCAGTGGACTACTTAACACCCATCCAAACTAGCCTAACTGACGTCATCTCAGGGTAATGCGTTTTCTCCAAAAAGTGCTTTAGTTCCTAACAAGCTGAGTGTGTCCTTGTGTGAAGGAATTTGCAAGACTGAAATATACGACTTGTTTCAGAAGAAAATTTTAAAAATTATTTTTCCAGTAGGTGAAATGCCGATAGTATATACAGAAGTAGGAATTGATTTCAGAGTTGGTGATTTCCTGGGTATAGGAATGAGACAGGAGACAAGGATGGGGCAGCGGACCACATGGATGCAGTGCCTTTCACTCTGTCCCAACACGCTCCAGAGTGCAGAGCCTGAGTTCTGTTGGGAAAGTGCTGAGGTTCTGGTTCCTGTGCACAAACCATGCAGAGATGTAGTTGGCAGTGTGTCTGGAGCTCAGGAGGGCCTGGGCAGAGACAGGGACAGAATCCCACAGGTGGGACTGGAATCAGCCAGGACAAGTGAGACCACAGCACCTAAGGGCTTAATATTAAGAGGTAACTCAGCAGCAGCCATAATCGTACCAGTGAAAGCAGGACTGGGTGATGTGATGACAAGAGTTGCTTTTGGAAGGGAGGGGTCACAGCATATATCATTCCTTTGGCATAAAATGTCCAGGAAAGACAAATTTAAAAGAGACTAGGCTGTGTGCAGGAATGATTAACTGTTGACACAAGGGACCTTCCTGGGGTGTCCTTGGCAACCTGTATGAGAGAGGTAGTACTGAACACAGAATAAAGCCATCATTTGTTTAGAGCAAGATTGCAGCAAGGTATTTTTAACCTGTGTGGTGCTGGCAGGGTGCAGGCCCGAAACTGACTTGTGGTGACAGATGCATGTCAATAGTTATGGATTATTTGCAAAATTCACTTCAATAGGAGTAAAGGAGAGGTCAACAGCATCTAGTGCCAACAGTGGCCTAAACTAGACACAGAATGAAGAGCCCACATTCTGGGCTTGGTCACTTACAGCCCTCTATGACTATAGTCAGAACACAGGAAGACACTGGAGCAGAAATGACAGAAACAGTTGTGGTAGGTGAGGAATGGCTGGTGATGACTCATGGCAGGTGTGTGAGATGAAGAGGAAGAGGTGGCAGCTGGAAGGGCTACAGATCCTGGCCTTTTGTTTTTCATGGTCCTGGGGGTTGAACTCAGATTCCTCATATTGAGCTACATCCCCAACCCTTTTCACTTTTTGATTCTCTTCTATCAGCCTCCCAGAGAACTGGGATTATAGGCATGTACCACCATACCCAGCTCCTTCAGTACCCCCTACTTCTTTTAAGGTGGCACAGGCCCAAGGTGGAATGAGTAAAATCCTGCTGCCCAGATGTGAAGGGGTGGGGGAGCAAATGAAATTAAGGCAGCACCCAGATGTCTAGGACATGGAAACTGCCCCCTACCCCCAGCAGCATGGAAAGGCTTGACAGGTTTTCTCAGGACCTGCCTGTCTGGCCTCAGACACCTCTGGGTGATTGGGGGGGGGGAGGGACAGGCAGGCTTCCACCCTACGCTTCTTTTAGCTGGTAGGTCTAGCCCATCTCTACCTGTTTAGCCTCTCCCCTCATCTCATAGCCATGTCAGCTGCTCATTCTCTGGTGGCATTCTCACATCATAGCTGTCTTGACCACCATTGAGTTGCCAAGTTTGTCCTCAGAAGACTTGCAGGAGCAGGTCCTTGGCAGGTACTACTTCCCTTGTAACTCCACTTCTAGTCATAGACATTGCTTTGTCCTAGTTGTGTCTCAAGGTCCTGCTTGAGTCCCAAATCTGAGGTAAAGTTTGTGTTTTTTTTTTGAGATATGGTCTTCAATTCATGGCCATCCTTTTTCCTCAGCCTCCCAAATGCTGGGAATTACAGGCATGTGCCACCATTACTTGGCTGGAGGTCACACAGCCATCAGCCATATTCTTGCCAGTTTGGTACCTGATGAATCTGTTGCTGTTCAACAATCCATGTCCAGCCACCTCAGCACCACACAAGTGAAAAATATATGGCTGCAATTTCCTGTTCCAAAGAAACAATCGCTCTGTAACTTCCTTTATTCTGTGTTGAATGCTGCCTCCCCCTCAGTGACCAATGAATACAGGTTGCCAAGGATGCCCCCAGTGTTCTGTGGTGGGCTCAGCACCAACCCTGCTTCCAGCCTCAAAAAAAAAAAAAACCATTAAAGAGATCACCTGAAGTGTATCTGCAAGCTAATGGGGGATAACCCAGAGCTCTTTCCTTGATGACTTATTGAGGCCATCCTGCTCATTTGACCTGGAGACCT